TCCCCCATCGCTCCCCTGGTACCGGGGCTGCCCCCGCCCCGCTATGGCCCATGGGGAAACTGAGGCACGGATGGGACCGTGGGTTGGCAGCACTGCCATGGTCCCGCTTCACCCCCAGCTGTGCTCAGGAGTTGTCACCAGGCTGCAGCTCCCAGGGGACAGGGATTTCCTCCTGCCTGGACTTTTCCTGCTCCTCCCTGCTGGCCACAGGATGCTGACGATGACCGAGGGAGGGACAAAACCGAGGAGAGCAAACGTCCCAGCTCTGAGCAGAGATGGGGTCCAGACCCGCTGGGCACACGCTCCCCCACCACCCTCAGCAAAGCACCCCGGGGGTCTGCTCTCCGACCCCTCGAGGCTCAGCTCCCCCCAAACTGCTGCATCCAGGCAGAGGGGGACTGGGACATCCTGGGGACCTCACGCTTGGGCTCCACTTGGGACGGCATCGAGCAGGAGGGGGTGCAAAGGGTGCAACAGCCCAGGACAAGCAAGGTGGAGAAAGGCTCCTGGCAGGGCAGGGCAACTTGCCCCAGGCCCATGCCATGGTCCCCGGGGCCAGGGGTGATGCCCGGGGCGGGTGGCAGAGCCCAACCAGTTTGAGATGGGGTGCAGCCGGCTCCGGGGGAGCTCCAGCAAAGCCCAGCCCTGGGGTGGCACTTGTGGAGGTGGCAAAACCTGCGAGATGGGCTGGGGGGGCTCCGGCACTTGGGGCGACCCGGGAAGGACCTGGGAAGGAAAGGGAGGCCAGCTGCCTCTGAGGGGCAGGGGTCCCCTAGCACCCATCTCAGCTCTCCAAGGCAGCAGGAACGGGGAGCCCTGTGCCCTGGGGTGCTCCCCTGCTCCCCAGGCTCTAGCTGCACCCCAGGCTGCTCCCCTGCACCCCAGGCTCTCTCTTCTGCACCCCAGGCTGCTCCCCTGCACCCCAAGCTCTCCCCTGCACCCCAGGCTGCTCCCGTGCACCCCAGGCTCTCTCTTCTGCACCCCAGGCTGCTCCCCTGCACCCCAAGCTCTCCCCTGCACCCCAGGCTGCTC